GGATGCAAATCTAGGACCTTCAGTTGCTGGTTCACTAGTAGAGAGCATCAAATCGTTTCATATAGGAGCCTTCAGTAACTCATTTCTTCTCGGGGATCAGTTTCGATGATCACATCAGTCATGTTTTTTGGTATCACAATCCGAGTGTAACTTCCGAAGCAATCACTTTATCGCTGATGCTATAGAACTAGGTCAAAACTTTTCATTTCTTTTTAGAACAAGGTTTTTATGGGTTTCGTCATGTTCCAGACGAATCGGATTAACTGCATTCTCACGCATAAGACTGTAACTTTTACAGGAGAGAGGTCATGGCTAGCTAGTACGAATGACAAGGAGGAAAGAGGGGTGCTGAGGGGGGGGGGGAAGGTAGAGACACACTCAACTATTTCTTGTTAACTATCGAGCTACAAGCTAGTACAAGGCCCAAAATCGCCCTAACAGCTGCTACTAACCCAATTCACAGTTTCAATATATCCCGGACGGCACCCGGTAACCTGAGGTTCTTCACCAAAGGCGGCTCCGCCCTTCTGCGCAACCGCCGCCGTCGTCGTCGACGTCTTACCGCCTTCGTTGTCATCACCGCGCACATTCCGATTGTCCCTCTTCCATCCCGTCCCAAACCAACACAACGATATCCCTCTTAGCGGCGGTGAAAGTTGCCGAGTGATCGACTTTGAGTCGTCTGTGCTGAGGTTCGGTTTATTCAAGCCAAAGACGATCCTAATCCATCTATGCATTGATCCTGAACTGGGTTCAAAATCTTCGACAGTGGTCAAATTTCATTTGCTTGAAATTCAAAGCCATATTCCTAATATTCTATCTTTTTTCCCTCTGAACTCTACCGTTTTACTTCATTCACTTATGATCATGCGCTAGCAGCAATCCCCTCAAAAATAGAAAACGAATTTATGGAGAAGGATGGGAGAGGGACAGTGGTAACAGGGTAGGGGGGTAGTGAGCTAGAGATGAGGGGGGAGGGGGAAGAGACGATAAAAATGCCTAATTTCTTTGTGCCTATGTCTTCTTTACTCTTTCTTACTATTCCTCCATCATGCTAAGCCCCAAGCTCGCTTATATTCCATTTCTCCTGCACATGCCCACAAAACACTGATAAATCTTCTTCTGTTGTTTTTTGTTTATACTCTCTTGAATTTGCTCAGTTTTTTTCGTTATTAATCATCGCGTAAACAAAATCAACTAGATCCTCTACTTTCCCATAACAAATTTTTTTCCTTATTTTCAGTCGGGATCCGCCCAATCGTCTAGGTGCAGTTGTCCATTAACATCGGCACTCTTCTAAAGCCTGCGCCATGCTTTGGGCCCTATCACTTATAGCGTTTGTGGGCGCGCAGACTATCCGTAAGTTCTATATTATTTCATTGAGCTGATGAATCCTACAAGAACAAAAATTCACTTTTGTGGGCGTTTTTTTCATGGCTGAGGTTACATCACATTCCCAAACCCAGTAAACTCCTCCAAATTCCACATTCGTTCCAAATCCCTCATAAAAAAATTCCAAATTCAATCCAAACAGTTGCGATAGTCACAGTTTTTGAC